TTGTCGAAGGGGTATATCTGAATATTTATATCTTCTAATTTCATAAAGAGCTCTCCTTTGTTCATTGTTAAGGTTACTTTTAACTGGTTTGGCCATTTTTAAAATTGATAAAACTTCTTGTCTTAATTTAACACTCTCAATTGGTTTCTTACTAAATTGCAATTTTAAGGCACATGATACTTTTAAAAAAAAGCTCTTACAAAGAACATTGTTTCGTTAATTTAAACAGTTTTTATATAATATAGCGGTTTTGTTTTTTTATAACGGTTTTTATATACTTGATAACGAGGGTATCCATATTCCCTCGAAATATCGTAAAAATAAATATAATTTTTGCTAATAGAAATCAATCCATAAAAAGAAGTTTTATTTTTAAATATATATATATATATATATATATATATATATATATATATATATATATATATATATATATATATATATATATATATATATATATATATATATATATATATATATATATATATATATCACACCCTAGTGGAAATATTTCTTACAAAAAAAAAGTACACCAGAAACGGATTACATTTTCGAAACCACCTACCTTGTTCTGTTATGACCTAGATTTTAAAAATATTCTGTTGATATCTAAAAAAATAAAAGGGAGTTAAACAAACTGGTCCAGAATTTTTAGTGTTTAAGATAGATAACTTCCAGAAATGGTGCTTTCATATAATTTTGTAATAATCATACTAATGCAAAATAAGAATGTTTTTGAAAAAATTGCGACGATCAGTATGGTTTCATTGGAAAAATTTTTTTTTTTTTCATAATATCTTTAACTAAATTAAAATTAATCGACAGATTTAAATTTTCAAACAAAAACCTCTTCTCTTTAAAAAGTTATTATTGTTTTTAGTTTTTTATTTCCCAATTAACTTAAAAAAATAACTTGAAAAGATCACAACTTTTAAACAACATATTTTTTTGGAATGATATTTAAAATTTGTCGATAAATTTTGATTCTAATAAATATGAAAAGAAAATAAAATTCATAAACGTTTTAAGGGCGTTACGTTAGGGGCGTGTTCTTAGAGATTTAATATGATTGGGCCCAATCACTGGACACAAATAAAAAGAAGATTTTAGTTTTTTTTTGTGGTTTTTAGTGATATTTAAAATAAGAACTTAAAAATAACTGTTTCATATTTTACAAACTAACTTTTCACAATAAATTATATATATAGTTAATCAGTAAGACTTTCAGAAAAGAAAGTTTGACGAGAGTTATATGTAACAATAGCTTTATGCTTTTGTTTAGTTTTCTTTTCGAATAATTTTTGTGACATTTGGATACCTTGTAACCGTTTTCCCAGAACTGACTAAAATTTTGATGAACAGATTCAGAGGCTTGTTCGCTCCAATAGCCTAGACCTTTGTTTGGATAATCACTTGACATCATTTTTAAAAACTCTACTGTATGTTTTACTAAAGCGTGTACTTTAGGTGATACTCTTAATCCAAGTTTATAGTAAGCTCCTTGATAATCTTTTACTTTTATTTTGTAGTCAGGTTCTAAAGTCATCGCTAAACAACTAACTTTAACTTCTCTTAAGCATTTAAATGCCTGTAGTATGAAAGAAAGTTGTTCATCATTATCTAGTGAAAAAGACTTGATCAAATCGTTCAAAATATCTATATTATCAAGAAGTTTTGAACACTGTCCTCCCTTAAAATGCCCACCATGAAGCCTTGGTCTTTTAAACCCTAGTTTTTCATTCCACTCCTCTGCTTTAAAACAAAATTCTTTAGATTTTATATATGAATCAAGATAATTAAAAAGTTTGTTGGTGTTTCCACTGAGAAGGTGTAGCTCCATCGGAGCAAGAAGTTTTATAACCTTTGTTTCATCTGGTAAATCAATAAGTGGTTGGTCTACACAGTTATGATAGGGTACTGCAGATAACTTTGATTTTTTAATTTTATTTCTGCTAGCATTTTTGTAATTATTAATTACTGATGATCTAATCATTCCAAGCGTTCTATGTTCACCTTGAAATTCAAAATTTTGAAAATCATTTTTGATAGCTATACACCAAGAGCAAGGATGAGTTGAGGCTGCAGTTTCTATTCCAAAAAAAATATTGGCCAACTTCATAATGAAAGCACAAAAGTATTTAATACTGTTTAAATTAATAAAATCGATTATTATTTTCATATTTGCGTAAGATTCTTGCAAATTTTCTACAAGTGCAATAATAATGAGTTTGTTAACCCCACCAACTTTGTATTTTTCTTTACATATGCCTTTGTCATAGCTAAATTTTTTTACCTTTTCTTTAGATACCTCGCAACGATCTAAGGTAATTAAACAAATTTTCAAAAATCCAGCTCCTCCATCAATGCCGACTTTTAAAATGTACTCACTTGAAATATTTCTTTTTTTGACAACATTTTCCACCAGTCCTAGAATATCTTTGCAATAAGCCATCACCTTTTCACCCTCATCAAATTTAACAGATCTTATGTCAAAGTATTCATTTAAAATGGCGTCTTCTTCAATCAGTTTATTTCTTGTATTTTTTTCAAATGATTTGCGACCTTTCCAACTTCTAAAAATACTTAAAACTTTAGCGCCTTGTGTGTTACACATGCATTTTTTAATTTGTTCACTTCACTTGTATGTATTGGTGAATCAGTAAACAAAGCTTTAGAAGAAGTTTTTGGTCTTTGTATACTAATTGAAGTTCTGCATGTTGCAACCTTAATTAAATTGCCTTGTTTTTCAAACTTTTGTTTAAGTGTTTTTGAACATTGCAATTCGGCACCTTTATCGTCTAAATAAAAATCTACAATACAAAATTTGTAATTACTTTGGAATTATTATTATAATTTAGTTTTAATAGGAACTTAATAATGAAATAAATATATTTTTACCTTTATCTAGTTGCTTCATTAGGTTTTCCCTTCGCTTTGTAATACCACAGGTGTGGGCTAATCCTGGTCCAATAACATTTAGACATCTTTTACAAACTTTAACTGGTCCAGGAGAGAGTAAACTTTCATGTTGAGTTTTGATCTTCCTCTTTTTTCTATATTTGATCCAGGTGTTAAATTACACCTAGCAGTAAAGCAAATATCACATTGGCAAAACTGTTGGTTTCTAGTTAGAATTGTTTCTTTGATCTTAGAGAAATCAAATGGTTTACATAAAACTATATTGGTGTTACCTTTTTCCATTTTTTCTAGATTAGTTTGACATCTTCCACAAATTCCATTTGGAAAACGGTTATCATTTAAATTAATATTGTCAATGAAATATTTTTTAATTCTCAATAAAACTACACTTCCTTCTTGTATTTTACTTAAATTTTTTCCTTTTTCAAAGCAAATTAAACAAACTTTACTCCTACTTTGACTGTGACTTAGCCTTGAATATGGCATTTCAAAGGTGAAATAATAATTAATATTTAAATTTTCAAAGCACAACTAACGATATTACAAACGCAATGTGTAACAAAACACAAATTACAATAATGCATAAAAATCAAAACTCGTTAAAACTAAAAGTGGTTTTTAATTAACCAATTTCAAATATTTTAGCAATAAAGAATGATTTTGAGGGTTATTTAAATTGATGTAATACAAATTAAAACAGTAGTTTGTAAAAGTAAAACATGTAACATTTTATAAACTCGCTTTGGTAAAACATACAAATAAATATTTAAAAAATTCTATATATAATTTATTGTGAAAAGTTAGTTTGTAAAATATGAAACAGTTATTATTAACTTGTAATGTTAAATATCACTAAAAACTACAACAAAAAACTAAAATCTTCTTTTTATTTGTGTCCCAGTGATCGGGCCCAATCATATTTAAACTCTAAGAACACGCCCCTAACGTAACGTCCTTAAAACGTTTATGAATTTTTTTTTTTTTTTATATTTATTAGAATCAAAATTTATTGACAAATTTTAAATATCATTCCAAAAAAATATGCCGTTTAAAAGTTGTGATCTTTTAAAGTTATTTTTTGGAGTTAATTGAGGAATAAAAAACTAAAAACAATAATAACTTTTTAAAGAGAAGAGGTTTTTGTATGAAAATTTAAATCTGTCAATTAATTTTAATTTAGTTAAAGATATTATGAAAAAAAAATTTTTTTTCTAATGAAACCATACATGGGACACAAGGACCCAAATTTTAGGTTTAATATTGTTTCCAGTCTCCGATCGTCGCAATTTTTTCTAAAACATTCTTATTTTGCATTAGTATGATTATTACAAAATTATATGAAAGCACCATTTCTGGAAGTTATCTATCTTAAACACTAAAAATTCTGGACCAGTTTGTTTAACCCCCTTTTATTTTTTTAGATATCGACAGAATATTTTCAAAAATCTAGGTCATAACAGAACAAGGTACGGTGGTTTTGAAAATGTAATCCGTTTCTGGTGTACTTTTTTTTTCGTAAGAAATATTTCCACTAGGGTGTGTATACTCTTCATATATATATATATATATATATATATATATATATATATATATATATATATATATATATATATATATATATATATATATATATATATATATATATATATATATATATATATATATATATATATACATATATATATATATACATATATATATATATATAAATATTTCCACTAGGGTGTGTATACTCTTCATATATATATATATATATATATATATATATATATATATATATATATATATATATATATATATATATATATATATATATATATATATATATACTCAACCCTCGGAATTAGAAAAAAATGCTGACAAATAAATTGCTGACCTCAAACGGTTAGAGGTGGGCAAAAAAAAATTTGACACAAAGAGGTTACCATAAAACATAGAATTAAGGTTGGCAATTTTTTGCCGACCTCAAACACTTTTAGGTTGGCAGTTAGGTCGGCATTGGCCGGCTGACCCTAATTCTCAGGGTTGTATATACAATGTGATTTAATTATATACCTTTAACTATAAACTGCTTTAAACAGGTAACAGGAGCATCTTGTTTGTTTCTTGCTGGTAAAGTTGAAGAAACTCCTAAAAAGTGTAGAGATGTTTTAAAGGTAGCTCAACAGTCTCTCTCAAGCAAGCATTTTAAAACATTTGGTGAAAATCCAAGGGTGCGTTATATTTTTTATGATTTCATTTTATATATAACAATAAATAACACTGTAAGAATAAGTCCATAAAATGAAATAGAAATAAAGAAATTAGAAATTAATCAATTCAAAACAAATCCTTACTTGGAAGAGTCTAATAGTATGGTAGTTATTTATAGTAGGAGGGGAAGTAGTTGTTGCTCCTTTGTCTAAACATGAATTATTGTGAAAATGCAAATATTTTCTTAAAAAGATCAAAGTTATTAAATCCAAAGGCATAAAATTCTTTTTATTTGCTATTTGAATTTTGTTGACTTAAATATTTTAATCTTTAAAATTACTTAAAAAAAAAAAGTTATTTCAAAACAATGTAGAAATGTTATTTTGTACAAATTTTATAGAATTTGTTTTTTGTTTTTCATTTTTTTAAATATGTATGTGCAACAATATTTGTATGTGCAGCAATATTATAAAAATAATTTGAGCAATCATCTCTACTTGGCCAGTATAACAAAGGTAAATGAAGATGCATGAATTTTACAATGGTATTTTCATTTTCTTCATCATGTTTTAATACCAAGCCAATTCAATTAAGTATATCTAAGCCTTGCGATGAATACAAAATGCTTAAAGCATTTGAGTAACAGAATTTTTGGCGTCATGAACTTCTCTTGATTTGCAATGATGCTAATTTATAGCAAATCTATTTTAATTTAATTTATAGCACAACTAATTTAATTAACTCAAAACAACGTAGAAATGTTATTATGTAATAATGTAATCAAAACAACGTAGAAATGTTATCATGTAATAATGTTATCGAATGATTATTTAGATCTTTTTTAATTATACAATTTTTTATTTTTTAAATATAAAAGTACTTGTTTGTTTTCTTGGCACTAAGTGTGGAATGCAAGAAGCGAACTTGAGTCAAGTTCAACTTGAACTTTACATTGTAACCAATAGCGGCAGAGTATGGGTTTTCCCCTACAAAATTTCTCTGCCGCTATTGGTTAAAATAAAAAGTTTAACTCAAATTAAATAAATAAAAAAAGATTTTGTTTTTTTTCTTGAATATGTATTAACAGTTTTACAAATAACAATTATTTTTATTTTAAAATAGTTAGCAAGTAATAAACTGAAAACTTTAAATTTTGTAAGAAAAAAACAAAGTAATAGTTAATTTTATAGCAGCAGTTTTATGTAAAATTTAAAATTTTTTTGTTTTTACAAAATGATTGATATACACTTGTTATTAAAATGTGTTGGTAATACTTGTGTTATTAAAATGTGTTGGTAACACTTTTGTTATTAAAATGTGTTGATAACATTTGTGTTATTAAAATGTTGGTAACACTTGTGTTATTAAAATGTGTTGGTAACACTTGTGTTATTAAAATGTGTTGGTGACACTTGTGTTATTAAAATGTGTTGGTAACACTTGTGTTATTAAAATGTGTTGGTAACACTTGTGTTATTAAAATGTGTTGGTGACACTTGTGTTATTAAAATGTGTTGGTGACACTTGTGTTATTAAAATGTGTTGGTGACACTTGTGTTATTAAAATGTGTTGGTAACACTTGTGTTGTTTAAACTAGGTAACACTTGTGTTGTTTAAACAACTTTAATGTCTCTTAAGTGGTAAAATCAATCATTATTTCAAAACCAATCAATTAAATTTTTAAAAGTCAAACTAGGTTAGTTAATAGCAAAGTTTTTTTAAAGTTCTGTTTTATTTCCAATGCCTGAACGAATATAACACAACTAACATAGTTTTAACATAGTCGAAAATAAATTTTTTTAAACTTGTTTAAATTTCCTTTATTTACAATGCATTAATACAATAGTTTTTATTAAAACAATAGTTTTTCTTTTGTTGCTTATTATTTTGTCTTGTTATTTTGATAAAAAAGTTAGTTGTATAAAAATTCAAAATTTATTTTTTCAAATTTTATCTGAATTTAAATGAGTATATTTTATTATATTTGTAATTTAAACTTTTGTCACAAATGTGTGCAGTTTTTAAAATGTTTATTACTTCATTAAATCTAAAGACTCATCTAAAGAGTTATTTAAATATTACCAAACAAAAATATTTTAGCGTAACGTTAATAGCGTAGTGTAACTTAAAGTTGCTCTATGCCCAACACTTTATTACAAGACCTGTATATCATATTTGCAGATATAATATTTTCATGCTATAAATTCTTGAAGATATTGTATTGAGCCAGTAAGGTTGAATGTTATGTTGTATTGAGCCAGTAAGGTTGAATGTTATGTTGTATTGAGCCAGTAAGGTTGAATGTTATGTTGTATTGAGCCAGTAAGGTTGAATGTTATGTTTGCTGACCAAAAATAGCTTAACAACTTAATATGAAATAATGTAAAATTCATTGCTGACCTTTTTTTTTCTAATTCTGAGGGTTGGTTATGTGAAGCACTGCTCTATCTGTTGTATTCAATAGTTTCATTTTTGTCTACTTATTCATTCTCTTCAAATGGTTTTTCATTTTGCAATAGACTTGAAGTTACATAATTGATAACACCAAATTCTATAGTAAAAATTACCTGGAGCATGCATTCCTTTGACTATCTGCTGTAGACCATGTTCTCAATAAGTTTATGGTAATTTTTCTTTAGTTTAAATGCACTAAGCAAAAGCTTTAGGTTTTAGCGTATTGTACAGATACATACAGCATGAGTTCCTTTACTATCATTTTAAACTTTTCGATGGAGAAAAATTGTAATTTTACTGGTGATACTTCTAATTTATCAAAATGAAATGCTTCAAGTTCTTTTTCTTGTAAAACAGTTATTAAATAAAATATCTTTGATAAGAAATGTTTGTTACAGTCAACTTGACCATTGTGATCCTGTTAGGCAGACCAATTATCTTTTTTTTTTTTTACTACTTCTTCTTTCGACATAAAGGATGCATTTAAAAACCAGTTGTTGTTTCTATACTAATTGAACACATATCTTTAGTTAAATGTTAATTTCTTGCAAACTGCCTTTAAATATATTATAAAATTAATCTACAAAATTTAGGAAATAATATAATTTAGAAATAAAAAAAAAACTCAAAATTTTTAAAATTTGTGTACTGAATGTATTATTTAAGAAAAAAACTGCACAACAAGTTAGAGTAATTAAATTCACCTTTTATATTAGTTTTAAGCTTTTTAAATAAATCAATGGAATTTTTTTTGGAGTTGGCAAAACCGGTTAAATAAGAGTTGCTCACAGGGTTGGCAAAAACCCGGGTTTTTGACCAAAAACCCAACCCAGCTGGGTTTTTGGGTGGGTTTTTGGGTGGGTTTTTGATGGGTTTTTGCTAAAGTTTGGTATAAATCTTTAGTAATCAAAGTTTGATTAATTTATAGTTTATAATATAATAAAGCTATTTTTCATTTTTTACAGGTATATTTTCTTATACAAAAGCTTTATTAATAATCAGATTGCATTTTTTTATAATATAAATCTATTTTTAAATAGAGTTATCTTTTTAGTTAAATTTAAAATATAAGTAGATTATATGTCTTCAACATGCCAAAGTATCATTCAGGGGGAAGAAATAAGGCTAGTGAGTGGAATGAAGTGACCATATTAAGTGATCAACCAAATAGAGTAATATGTAATTATTGCAAAGTGAGCATAATTAAAAAAATAGAAAGAGTTTCAAGAGATCCATTTGGATAAATGCAGAAGAAAGAATAAACGAAGCAATAATAATTCCGCTGAAGTGTTAAGTGATATATCAGTTTTAGAGCAGCATCAAATAAGTCTAGCCTGTCTGATGATAATGAGCAAGATGGTTTAAGCTTTATTAGTGATTCTTTTTATTCGTCAATTGTTCAGTCAACTGCAATGAAGATGCAACAGCAAACATCTATTTCTAAATTTGTTACTACAACAACAAGTAATCAGAAGGATGAACTGGATTTACAAGTTGCAAGATTTTTCTTTTCAGCAAATATACCATTCAACGTAGTAGAAAATCTTGAATTTACCAAGCTGCTTAAAAAACTTAGACCTGGATATGAGCCACCAAATAGAAAACAGATATCTTCAGAACTCTTAGTAAAGATAAATGAAGAAGTAATCAATTTAATGAAAAATGATCTTGCTGATGATAGTGCTGTTACCCTAATTCAAGATGGTTGGAGTACATTCAGTAATGATCCTATAATTGCTCATAGCATCCATAGTAAAAATAAACCTTATCTCATTTCTGCAATTGACACTGGAAGCCAATCAAAAACAGCAGAATATTGCGCTCAAGCTGCTAAGGATGCAATTAAAATTGCTAAAGAAACGTTCCATAAAGATGTAAGTGTTAGATGTTTAACTGCTTTATTTAATGTATATATATATATATACTATATACATATACATTTTTATATATATATATATATATATATATATATATATATATATATATATATATATATATATATATATATATATATATATATATAAGGCCTCATATATATACATATATATATATATATATATATAAGGCCTATATATATATATATATATATATATATATATATATATATATATATATATATATATATATATATATATATATATATATATGTATATATATATGTATATATATATATATATATATATATATATATATATATATATATATATATATATATATTTATATATATATATATATATATATATAGGCCTCAACGGAAGAACGATTTTAATAAAATAATTTTTGGGGTGATTTTAATTCGTTGAACTACATGATGGTGTTTTAAATCTAAAAAAATTGATTTTCTCAAAACATCAAAAGTGTGACTCTGATTGTTCTTCCGTTGAGGCCTTCATATATATACACATATATGTTTCATTTTTTATTTAGGTATTTGCAGTATGCACTGACAACGAAAATAAAATGTCTAAAATGAGAAAACTTTTGCAGGCTGAAGCCCCTAAGTTGATAACATTTGGTTGCTCTGCTCATTTTTTAAATTTGGTTGAAAAGGATGTCTCTCCAAAGTCTATAGTAAAGCATATTATAGCAATTCATAAATATTTTCGTAATCATCACCAACCACATGTATGTATTAAATTCTTTACTTATTGATCATATTCTGTAATACAATACTATGAAACAACACAGCTGTGTTAATGATATAAGCCTAATGATAATGATGGCAAAAGAGATCCTAGCTTTATTTTAACAAAATTATTTTTTAATATTTCTTTGTTAAATTTTCTTAAATAAATTTATTATAGGGTTGGTTATTGGAAAAAGGTGGACTGATGCCACAGCTACCTAATGATACTCGCTGGAACTCCCAACTAGATTGTTTACAGACATACATATCTAATCATTCTCTGTACGTTGACATTAGAGGTGAGCATATGGAATCCATTGATCCTTCGATAGGAAGCCTAATTGACAATCTATCAATACAGAGAGAAGCAATAAATTTATATGCACAATTGAAAATTGTTGGTGTTGCGTTAGATAAGGTTAATAAAATTAGTTATTAATTGGATTTATTAAATTTAATTATATTAAGTATATTAAAACCACTTATATTAGGAACAATGTCACCATTAACTTTATTTACCTAATTATTAGCAAAATTATTGTGTTTACTGTAGTTGCAAGCAGACGATACAACTTTGTCTGAAGCAGTTGAGATTTGGCAAAGCCTCATACATAATGAAAAATTGGCTTTGTACAAAGATGATATTTTAAAGAGGTTCAAGAAGGCAATTGTTCCATGTCATTTTCTTGCCAATTTAACAGATCCAAAATATGAAGGTAACTAAACAATTGTAAAAAACTTAAAGTATTGCATCTGATTAATTTTTAATAAAAACAAATGTAAAGTTTTTATTTAAGTTTACTACTCTTATAACTTTACTTATTTACTTAGGAAGAACATTGGATAGAAGTCAAGAAGAAGAAGCTGAGGAATGGTTGAATGAAGTCTATCCTGAATTTATGCCAGGCTATTATGCGTTTAAACTAAAAGATGCTAATTGTTTCCCAACATATTTATTCAACGATAGTGTTAAAAGCACAACATCAGCAACAAATTGGTGGAGAATTATAAAAATGAAAGAATCTAAGTCTTCCAAATTGCCTGCAAATTTTGCAAAATTTTTACGGCAGTTGCACACTTGTCCAGCTAGTACTGGATCCATAGAAAGATTTTTCTCATCTTTTGGAATTATTTGGAGCAAAATTAGAAATCGTTTAGGAAGAGAAAAAGCTGAAATGCTTGTACGAATTTACAGACATTTAAGATCAAGATGCACAATTGCTGATGACTTTTAGATTACTTTGTTTTAAATGATTAAGCTTGAATATTATTGCTCCAAGTAAAATAAAATTCTTGTTTATGACTTACTAAACTTCATTTTTTGTTGTTAGTTGAGCAGCATCAAATCTTGTGTGTTAATGGAAATTGATTTATGTACAAAAAAATTAAAAATTAAAAATTTAAGACCAAAAACCCATAAAGTTGGGTTTTTGGTGGGTTTTTGGTGGGTTTTTGGTCTTGGGTTTTTGGGTGGGTTTTTGGGTTTGGGTTTTTGGGTACCAACCCTGGTTGCTCATGATGTAAACTGATTTTAACACTAACATTTAATATTGATAGCCTAGATTTCTATTTAACTATAAATAAACAAAAAACTCACAGTCGTGTATACAGTATTTCAGATTGAAAAAAATTTTACCATTAGTTTTTTTAAATATAATATTATGTATTAATTTTTTTAATTTAATGATTTACTAGTGAGAAAGAATGACAGCTGGTAAAATATCCGACTTTTTATAAATATGCAAATAATATCTTCATATTTTAATATTCATTGTTTATTGTATTTTAGTAAATATTCACCTGATTTAATGTACCATCTAAAAGGAAGCAAAAATTTATTTATTCGAAAATTTATTTATTCAAGGCTTCTTTTAAAGAATAAGTAAAATGAGTTTTCTTTTGTATAAATTTTTATGACTGATGTTAATTTTTATAAGTGATGTCAATACATTTAAAAAGGAGTCTTGAATGCATACCTATAATATTCATTTTTTCACATAATACTCATATATTTTTCAATGATTTTCAAAAAACCCAGTTTTCAATTTTGGACTAAAACACTTTTTAAAATATCTATTTTAAGTAAACAACAAAACCTTAGGGCTTTGTTGTGTCTTTCTTACAATTTCTAAAATAGACTATAGGTGAAGAATTTTTTTAAAATCTAATTATGGGTCTTTACTTGTAACTACATACCTTATTGCCTATGGTGCCATGTGTTTTTTATGGTTGAATCAGGTTTTCCCCAATAACTTACTAGCCATAAGAAACATAACTAAATTGTTTTGGTCTATCTTATACAAGTGTTCTTGGTCTCTGAAATTTTTTGAATAGTCTACCTATTTGGTCTTTTTGAGACTAATTTAAATTTGGTTGTTTCATATTTGCATCACAGTTTTGATATCATTTTTCTTTTGATTTGCAAAGACTCATGCAGCCACATGCTAAGGGATGAAGATATGTATTGATTCACAAGACACAACAAATGCAATGTCTTATCAATGCTCAAGAAAATGCATATAAATACAAGGAAATCATGCTCTACATATGTTCTTAACTAAGTTTTATAAGTCAAAGGTTCAAATGTGAAATCTGAAATGTTTATATCAGCTTAAAAAAGACTTTGAGAATCTTGCTCACCAATTGTAATAATATTTAACACATTTAAACTTTAGTGTTGGGCACTTGAAAAAGTATTAAACAATAATAAAATGCAATATTATTGGTTGTTACTAAATGCACATTGACTGGTAAAAATAAAAAATGTGTATTTAGTTCTTAAAATTGATTTCTAATTTAACAATACTGTTTAGCACTGATAACTAAAAGAATGTTTATCATTTTTTATGAACGGCTTTAAAAAAGACACAAATCAAAACGACACAAATCGAGAAGAGATTCAACAAAAGTTTTGATACTTAACTTGGCTTAGATCTGTATGTCGACAAAAAACAATATGGATCTGAGATGGAACTCAGATCCATATTGTTTTTTAATCTAAATGCCCTAGTAACCACAGTATTACCTCAGTATTGCTGTGGTTACAGTAACCACAGTAATACCTCAGTATTACTGTGGTTACAGTAACCACAGTAATACCTCAGTATTACTGTGGTTACAATAAAACAAAAAGAGTTGAAACAAACTTCAAACATTTGACATAAGTATAAACATATGTTTATACTTATGTCAAATAAGGATATTTTGCAAAAAATTGTGATGAGTAGAAAATGAAAGTGCTTAGGAAATAAAAAGCTCTAAAATTTTCGTTTTTTCCCTGCCCCATACATGGGACAAAAAAAAAGCGAATCAGCAAGTTGAAAAAAAGGGAGCAACAAGTTGATAAAATATTTTTTTTTACTATTCTCAACTAAATCAATATTCATTGATAAATTTTAAATTTCATAGAATAATCTCTTAGCTTTCTAAAATTATGTCCACATAAAATTTTAACCCCCTCAAATTGAGGTTTTTTATTATTTTTATTAGTAATTAATAAATAAAAATATTTTTCTGAATGTCATTTATAATTTTATTTAATAGTAACATTATGTATTAAAGTATTCCTTTCATAGCATTAATATATAAGTTATAAATTGATATGATAAGAATATGATTTAATGATGTTGATGAGACTAAATTAAGTTTCTCATAGTCATATGACACAAAAATCTTTTCAAATTTGTTATATTAGATGTTCATTTGTAACAAACAATTCTTTTAGGAAGAGGTGATGATATGTGAGAGAATAATTTTTTAGGAAGAGGTGATGATATGTGAGAGAATAATTTTTTTAGGAAAAGGTGATGATATGTGAGAGAATAATTTTTTTAAAAAGAGGTGATGATATGTGAGAGAATAATTTTTTTAGGAAGAGGTAATGATATGTGAGAGAATAACTTTTTTAGGAAGAGGTGATGATATATGAGAGAATATTTTTTTTAGGAAGAGGTAATGATATGTGAGAGAATAATTTTACAAACAATAAAGTTTGATTTACAAACCAATCATCCTTACCAGTATCTTATTAAATATGGAAAGCTTTTAAAAGGTACATGTTTTTTTTTGTACCATTTTTATTCTCAAAATAGTAATGCATTTGGATTAAACAGTGTATATATTAGCAAGGCATAAGGAAATTTTTCAGTGCAATATCTAACTTGGACTGCATTTGTTTGTATTGAAAAATAACACTTACTTAAAGGGATCCCTAAGTGCTATAAAGATATGATCTCATATGAAAGAGCATAAAAAAAAAAAATGTTTGATGTATATTATTTTTTCTAAAACGTAATAATGAAAACACACTAACAAATTTAATTTTCAAAAAAACGCTTTTCTTCGATTAAAAAAAATGCGTCTTGTCCAAAGTTTATTGACTCTACTGCCTCAAAAAACTAACGTTAGTACATCAAATTAAACAAAGTAGACAAAATGTCATTATTGCAAACTTATTAGTTGGTAATTAAATTTAAAAGTAAAGTCGTTTTTTTTCAACTAACACATAATTACTTACAAGAATAAGTTTTGTAGCATTTTGTGAAAATATATTTGTATATTAAAATTTTTTTTATAATATTAATTTATATATTTGTGTTATAAGGGCAATTCCACGGCTAAAAATGAATAGAAGTCAAATTTTAAACTTTTTTTAGTCAGTTAAAAACAAATGAATATTGACTTAGACATATGAAAGTTTATTTAAAATATTGCCTTAGTAAAAAAATAAATTTATTTCAGTAGTTTTTATGGTTTCAAAAGTGAATGGATTCAAAAGTCATTTTTGCTTGATAAAAAAAATAATGATTGTAAAATGTTTTAGTTAAATTAACATTTATGTTAAATTGCTATATTTTTTTGGTTCAAATTGATAAGGTTGAATAGACATTTTATTAGAAATTAAACTAAGACAGGGCTCGAATTAACGCAAAAAAATCTAATCGCCAAAAAAAAATTCTCCCCCCCCCCCTATCTCTCTCTCTTATAGCTCGCGCCGATGTGCGGTAATGGGGTGAAAAAATTATCGTCAATAACTCAAAAAACATCATCAAAAACTTAATAAAAAGTTAGATACCACGTTTTTTATAATTTATTGTTTCTTGAATAAAGGACTAATAAAAGTTTAAATATAATTAAGTTTTTCATTTAAATGGTTGATGTTTTTATTCAATTTTTCTATTTCAAGTTTTCCAATAAAAGATAAAACAAAAAATTTTGGTTTAATAAATCAAGTTATACTTCATGTTTAAAATAAGGCTTAAAAACGTTAAAGTAAAAAAAAATGCTGGTTTTTATTAGCATTTTTATACTGTTTGAAAAAAAAACTAATAAAAAAGAATTAACTAATAATATATTAATTAATAATTATATATTAATTCTTTTTTATTAGATTTTTTTTTCAAACAGTATAAAAATGCAAATAGAAGTCAGTAATTTTTTTGCTCTAACGTTTTTAAGCCTTATTTTAAACATGAAGTTTTGATAAACAAAGATAAAAACCAACTTTTCAACTTTTCGCTTTAACAACACGGCTGTTTCACTCAATATAAAGCGAGCTTGACGTCACAAGAGTTTTTGTGTTTTAAAAAAAAAAAAGAATTTCCGCATAAAAAGTATAAAAATTCACTAACTTTAAATTAATAGTATTTTTTTTTCTATAAACGCTTTTATCTTGGAATTAAAAAAATATAAAAAAGCCATCTTTCTTCGCTAAATGAATATTTACATGAAACGAAATAAAAATAAGCATTATTAAAATATTTCAAATGATTTTGGATCACTTTTCTATTTTTTGCGTATTTTACGGAAAACCTGTCTTGGGCCAATCAAGATTTAATATTTTAAGCTACATGCTTGATGAATGAAATTTTATATACTTATAAACGAATGTCTATTTTATGAGATTTTCGGAGGGCACAGATAAAAAAAATAGTTTTAGTTTTTTTAGCATTATTTTTTTTGTTTTTACTTGTTTTATATGAAAAACGTTTAATTTTTGTTATGCCCTCCAAATTATTGAAATTTCAACCCTCTATGCACATGAAAATCAAAAAAATTACTTTCTGTACTTCTAACTAAAACGTCTTCAACCTTGGTAAACTTTGTTGCTTTTAGCAAAAATTTGTAGTTACATGTGTAAAATTTTTGTTTATGTTTTAAAGCAATGACGTAACTTTAAATGCGTTAATTCCCAATTCACTATGTAATTAAATTTATTAAAACAGCTTTTTTAGCGAGACAAATTATATTGTATAAATAAAAAAAACTTTGGCGGTTTTTTTTCTCTCGTGGCTAATCTACAAACATCAGATAAGTTGTTAAATCCTCTAATATCTATTGCATACTTGTTATTTGTCAATAATTATTATTTGATTTTATTTGTTTGTATTATATTTGTATAAAGAAGTTTATTTATCACTATGCATTCTAGTGAAAGCAAGATACTAATACTATACATTGGATGCTTTAAAGCTTAAGCTTTAAATTTTTAGGCATTAAGCTTTAGTTTTAAATTTTTTAACATTTAAGTAAGATTTTTTTGTTTTTATTATAGTCCAACAATGTGTATATTTAATAATAATTATCGAAAATATATTCTTTCTGAGTTTTTTTTGATAAAAAGTGACATCAAATTACTAATATTAAACCAAGTTCAACATTTGCAGCGTTTATTCTAAAATTAAAGAAGTTTTTTAATATATCTGTGAAATGCCATCAAATAAAACATTTTATTGGTGTTTTTATTCTTTTTACAGAACAAAATTACCTCTAATGTTTCAAAAGTTATAAAAGTTTTAGTAACACCCCTTACGTGAATATTTTCAAAAAACAACAAGAAGCCGTAAAGCTCGCTTGAAACAGCCGTGACTACCTTGTAAAAATATTCCACGCAGAGATTTAAAGTAATTTAAATTCAAAAATATTTTACGTTAAAAGAAAATCTATTCAGAATAATAAATTTTGTGTGATGTTCTTTATGATAAAAACATTACTTTTAAGAATTGCTAAAAAAAATGCTAAGCTAGAAAAAAAGTAATTAATCAACCAAAAAAAAAACGAGTCGCGAAAAGATTTTTTTTAAGAGAAAACTAATCACAAAAGTGTGTGTTGCAATCGCGATTGCGATACGCTTAATACGAGCCCTGTAAGACTTTTTTATAAGTTCTAAACTATTTAAACCTATTACTTAATAACTTTTTTTTAACGACGTCTTTCAACCGAATGCTATTATACTGTTTTTGCAAAACTAATTAAAAAAACTTGATTAAAACTTAACTATTTAATCACAACTTTTTTTTACTTGAAAATCGAAGTAGATATTCTAAAGTTGTTGTGACGTACTAACGTGATTTTTAACGAATAACAATCGAGTTTCAATGGTGAAAAAATAAAATCAAAATGGAGTTGTTTTTTAGTGATTTCGGCAATTGCTTTTTGTTAGCATGTATTTATTATTACAATTTAGTGAAAAAGAAAAAAAACTTACATATTTTTTTTTAATGCTCTTTCATATGTGATCATATGTTAGGAGCACTTCGGGATCCCTTTAAAGTTTCAAAAAATCTTCATCTCCCATTCAACTGCCATACAATAGAAAATAATCAGGTGCTCCTTTAAAAAATTATCAATTGACAGTTTTCTAAAGTCTTCTGTCAACTTCTTTTTTCTTCTGTCAACTTCTTTTTTCTTCTGTCAACTTCTTTTTTTTCTTTCAATTTCTTAGATGTGATCAGTTTCAGGAATTACATTTTCAGTAATATTAAAAAATTGTAAATATAGTTTTGACTTTTGTTTAAGTTGTGAAAGTATTTGTATTGCGGATTAATGTTGAAGAAAAGTCTTTAACGATATTTAATAAAAACTTATTTATACAAAAATTTGTAGCCTTTTCTTTTTTTCCACATTGTTCTACTTTTTTTTTTGACATTTTTCTTTTTTTTTTTGACCCTATGTTTGATACAATCATAAAGTCAGTATTTGAGTGAGAAACACAGAAGTTATTTTTAGTGTCACCACACCAGAATAAATATGTCTGTCAGTTTTTCGATTTTATTAATTTTGTTACTTGTAGTATATTCATAAATTATCTTATTATTTAGTATATTCATATATCATCTTTGACAATTTATGTAATCAAAATTTGTCTCTGAGTTTAAAATTTTAAAATAAGCTATTTTGATATTTTAATTTAATTTTAAAAATTTCTTGTAATTTTATTATATTTTGTTTACAATTAGGAGAAAAAAGTAAAGTAAATGAGTTGGTTCAAAAGGCTTGGATATTTATAAATGACAGGTTTTCTTGGTGTTTTTTGTCTTTTTTTTTTTGTGCTTATTTGAATTTTAATTTTTTTAAAATTATTTATTTTTAAATGGGGTAATTTGATTCTTATTACAAAGTTTTCTATTTTTAGCTTGTCAACCACCCTTTGTTTACTTTATAAACCTCAAGTGATCGCCATTGCTGTTCTATTACTTGCATTTAAGATGTCTAATCAAAATATACGAGACTTTATATCTAAGCCACGTAATGATTGGTGGAAAACATTTCATGTTGATGCCACTGAAGCTGATCTTGAAGGTTTTTTATAATTTTAATTTAAATTGTTATAATTTTAATTTTAACTTGTTTTAATCTTGGTTTGTATCTTAAATGTTTCTATCATTATAGGGGAAAGACACTTTTTTTTTTTTTTTTAATTCTGATTCACTTCCAAGAAAGCTGCAAACAACCACTATTAAATTGGGAGTTACTAGAAAAAAAATAATAGAGTTAAAGAGCAAGGAAACAGTTGACAGAAGATTTATAAAAGTTGTAGGTTGTATGAGTCAAGAAAATATGAAGATGGAAGAGAATTCTAAAGGGTTGAGATGCAGGGATAAAAACTTGACAAAGAAAAGTTTTTAAAGCATGCAGGGACAGATACAGTAAAAGAATGAGACTTTTCTGAATGACGAGTCATAGAAGAATGAGTTTTAGTTGATGGAACTAGAGATTATAGCTCCTTTGAGTAGCGATCATGATAGTATTTGTAGAAAAGAGAATAAGATGCAACTTTACAATGATGGGAGAGAGGTTCAAGCTCAGCAAATAGAGCGGGTCCAACTACATTTACAATGCGTTTTTGGACCATGTCTCGAAGAGAAAGAGCATCATTAGAAGAACCAGCCCAAATATGACAACAGTATTTCATACAAGGACAAAAAGAATTTTGTAAAGGTAGAGAATGGAATCAGGAGTAAGAAAATGGTAAGCACAATAGAGAGAAGCAGCCTTTCTAGATGCTGATTTGGTAATAATGGATAAATTAATGAAGTGGTTAGAAAGAAATGATTTGATAATCTCAAAAACTTTCCCAGGTACACCATATGAAGTAAGCTTATTGGGAAGACCAGCATGTCAAATTTTGTTGAAAGCCTTTGATATTTTAAAAGCAATAATTAAGCCTCTTCGCTTTTATCTGATGCATGATAAAATCTTTCAGTCACAGCAGTTAGCAAGTCAGCCGTAGAGCAAGATGATCAAATACCGTTTTGATTGTCTGACAGTAAGTTATCTGACTCCAAATGCGGTGTTAGAAATTTGTTGACTAAAGACTCAAAGACATCGCTAATAACAAATAGAAGACTGATCGGACGATAGTTGAAGGGGTCATAATGGACTCAAGAGTTTTTAAAAATTGGAACCACAAATGCCATTTCCCAGCAGGACAGTAAATAAGATTCAATTAAGTACTTAATAAATAGTTTAGAGGAAATTGAAGAGAGTTCTAGAGAAAACTTTTGTAAGACTATGACAGGAATGTTGTCTGGACCATAAGCCTCAAAAGAGTTAAATTGAGATATGACTTTAGCAACGGAAGCTGGAATGATTTGAATGTCCAACAATCAATTAACCTGTTTAATTGGAATTGAAGGAAGGATATGGCTAAAAGATTCAAGAGTTGAATTAGAAGAAAAGTTCTTTTCTTTTCCTTGGAAGAGGTGTTAAGATCAGTTCCATGAATGAGAAATGGAGTGTTTGACCTTTCCATAAATCTCTAGAGAACTTCTGAGATATGATACAAGATTTAGTGAACTGGGAACAATGGAGGTTTTCATCAGACCTTTTTTCATCAATTTGTTGCAATAATAAATAGCTGTTTGTTTTCAAGAAAGTTGTTCTTTCAAAAAATATGAAAAAAATGATATAGCAGCTGCACAAGAAAGTGAAAACCATGGAGTAGAATGAGGTTTGACATGGAATTACAAGAAGGAATAAAAGCTTCCATACCTGTCTGGATCCAGGAGGTTATATAAGAGACACTTGTTAGCGGAGAGAGAAAAGACATCAGCCCAAGCACCATCACCAAAAAAATCACAAAAAGAATCCTAGTCAGTGTTAGATAGTAGTGAGTAGTGCAATGATAGAGTGAGTTCAAAGAAGAAGTATTGTATGATTTGAATGAATTTGAATATATTAAGAATTTATAGAGATCATTGCATGGTTAGAACCACCTAAAAGAGAAAAAGAAGACAACTGAACACAAGCTAGATTCAAAGAAAAGACATGAGTCAAGGAGTAAAGGTAAGTGATTAGGGTTGTTTGGAAAGTGAGTTACAAAGTTAACTATCTGCATAAGGGATTGAGAAATGCAGAAGTTATAGGTTTTAATGCCAGTAGGGTTAGTGGTGTTAGAGCCAAGCCTTTCAGTGTGATGAGCATTAAAGTTACCAATAACAATATTAGCAGAGGGGTAAAGAGATTAGGGATGGTCAATTTAATCAGAAATTACATTTAAAAGAGTGCAGTCTTAAGAAGAAGAAGAACAATAAAGAACAAAGAGAAAGGTGATAGAATGAAGAGGTACTAAGTGGTGATAGAGTGAAGAAGTGCTAGGCGAAAGCACATAAAAGAATGGTCAAAGGATTCGAACCTGATTTCACGACAAATAGGGGAATTAATGCGTTTGTATACCCCTAAACCTAGCATGTGACTATTGGAGTCTTTACGAATCAAAGGATCGTACCCATCAACACTGACATCTGAAGAGAAAGGTGATAGAATGAAGAGGTACTAAGTGGAAGCTCATAAAAGAATGATCAAGGGATTCAATTTTGATTTCTCAACAAATAGGTGAATTGATGTGTAAGTATATGCCCAAGTCAAGCATATGGCAATTAGAGTCTTTGCGAATTAAAAGATAATACCCATCAATATTGAGATCTGATTAAAGTAACAGCTGAATTTAGATTAGTCTCACAAAGAGTAAACAAGTCTGATGAATTTTCCAAGAAGTAAGATTCAACTGATGGAAGGTTACTTTGCAGACCACAAGTATTTTATGAAAGATATATTAAAATAGTTAGGTGGTGGTGATTATTTTTTAAGTTCAATATTTTGATTAACTTCTGGCATTATTTAAATTTAAAGAGAACTTGACTCTTTCATAGATAGAGCACGACGTCCATAGCAATCAGCTATGTAGTCTCAGTCCCATTTATCAACCCAAAGTTGTAATGTAGGGCTCCTTATGTGGCCTTGACAATTCACACCAAAAGCATTAACAGGGACACTACCCATGTGCAACAAGGCATTGTTAATATTCTGGTATAGAATCAGCCTCTCTGAGAGCTTCCACAGAGTTTGGTAAACTTTACTACCAGCCGGCCTCAGAACCATCAAACTGAGTTTTAGAGGTGTTTCCTCATTAGAAGATAACAGTAAGAGTTACATAGCCACTATCAGGGAGTTCCAAGCAAAAGTAGTGTCAAGACGATCCAGCATTCATCATCCTAGGCAGGAAACAATGTAACAGATATACATCTAAGCCAGCCTAATAGATGAAGGGGTTTGAGGCTGGTCAACAGAATCATACTGCTTACCCCTAAAGTCTTTAGGAGGCCTTTTACAATACAGTAGCTGGATGCAGTTAACATATTCCCTAGATGAGCATTTTTATTGAGACACCATCTCTAGCCTTTACTCAATCAAGAGCCCCAAGGCAGGAGATTTTTAAGTTAGAGTTTGTTTCTTCTAGCCTTTGACTGAAAAAGCAAACCCTACAAGGCAGCTAGGCATGGGGCAGGCTGTACTGAATTACATGATACCACTAGAAGGGTGATTTTGATGATCTTGAACCTGACCTGACCTGGAGAAAGACATTTACAATTTGTTTTTTTTTTTATAAGGAGAAAGAAACTTCTTATGGGAGAAAAACGATTTGCAAGTGTCTGTCTCCAGGACAAGTCAGGTTCAAGATTATCATGATCATCCTAAAAACAAAGTTCTAAGTATTTTTTAGTTCAAAATTTTAAATTTTAAATAAATAAAGTTTTATCAAAATCTTATTTCAAAATCTTCTAAAAAATTTATATTGCATTTTGCGATATAAATTTTTTATTTATTTCTGCAATTTAATTAATTTTTATTCAATATTCAAAATCTTTATTAAAATGATTTGTTGTTGTAGAAAGCTTTCTAACCGCTAAAAACAAGTAGATTGCTAAAAATAAGTGGATTGCAAAAAACAATCACATTTTGTTTCAAGCTTTGGTGTTTGTGTGCCCTGGTGAAGGTGAAGGGAGATTGCTATTTGAATCTACACACATTTGTTACAGTCAAGTACTATGAGTCATTTAGCATACCTAATTAGACTTAGTTTATCCATTTTCTACATTTGATATTTTTTAAAGTTGAAAATCTATAAATAACATTAAAAAAAGCTTTTCTTTATAGCATATCTTTAATTATTGTTGATGCATTTTTTATTTTATTTTTTTGTAACTTTTTTTTCTAATTACTAAAAGGTGTAATTGAAAGTTGTAATTGAAATGTGATGATCAAAATCTCTTGATTCCTTGCTCTTTTTCCACTTTATTATTGCATGATTGTCTTTTTATGTCCTCTCTTACTAAAGACTAATTTTTATGTCCTCTTTTACTAAAAAATAATTTTATGTCCTCTCTTACTAAAGAATAATTTTATGTCCTCTCTTACTAAAGACTAATTTTTATGTCCTCTCTTACTAAAAAATAATTTTATGTCCTCTCTTACTAAAGAATAATTTTATGTCCTCTCTTACTAAAGACTAATTTTTATGTCCTCTCTTACTAAAGAATAATTTTTGATTTAACTAAATGTTAAATATTTATCTAAATCACTAAGTTTTAATTTTACAAAATTAAAGTTTGTTAATTTTTATATTTTGCATTCTGTAGATATATGCAAAGAACTGATGAATATGTATGAAGGTAAACCTCCTCGTCGTCGCTTTCCTCATAAGCATTCTGTTGCTATGAAAAAGAAATCAAGTCCTTCCAACTCTGGAAGTCCAAAAGCAAAAAAACAGGTAAGTTGTCATCGCAAAATTTGAGAATCTATTAAAATTAAAATTTTTTTGAAAATTTTAAAATTAAAGAAGGGAAATACTTTTATAAGGGAAACTAATTTTTTACCCAGACATAAAGGCAGGTTACTTTCAGCAATAAAAATGTTCATTTTATATTTTACAGACTTTTTTTATTCAAAATTGCACACACATTTAAAGAGAGATTTTTATCAAAAACCTTAATTTCAAAAAAAGGTATTAAAAACGGAGTCTAACACATAGAAAATATTTTATCTAGAAGAAAAATTACCAGATAATTAGGTTCAATTTGTTTTAAGACGGAATGATGCATAGCTTTTTTGAAATAAGCAATGTTTTTGGGTTTAGGTAATGTAGGTCTATATGTCAATGTGTTTTGTACCGGTAAGAATCTAATGCTTATACAACAAATACCTTTAAAATGAAAAATACATATAAAAGTATAAATTAGAAGTCTGACTTTGTTTCTGGAGTCATGTTGCTATGGATTTTTTCAGATGATCAGTAAAGATGTAATGATATCATGTTTTCAATTAAAACTAGTAGATAACGCAGCGTAGCAGTTTTGAAGGATTGCACATTGAATTTTTATTATATAAACATATTGTTTTTGTGGGATCTCTAATATATAAACAAAAAATTGGATAACCTTCAATTAAGCTTCCGCTTTAAATTTTTCCTTTAAACATAATTTCAACATGATTTGACTTTTTATAAATACTTCGAATTTTAAATTTGAATATTATTTATTCAATTTGGAGAATTATAATATGATTTATTTGATATGTTAAGAAAATTTGTAAAAAAAAAAAAAAAACTATGGAAATTGAATCACAAGAATCCTCTGCATTCCTTAGAAAGTAGCTAACAGAGATGGAATAAATATTTTGCGTTTCAAATTTAGCGCTTTGAACGTGTAAAGTTTTTTTGCGTTTAAAACATCTATTTTAACTTTTGTTTTAACTTATGTTAAAATCTATTATGTTATTTTATGTTAACATCTATTATGTTTTAACTTTTAATCAAATAATTTAAATATACAATGACTTCAGTCATATTTTATTATAAGTTGGTCTATTTGATTGAAAAAACATAAAAATGTAACTTAGACCAACATTACCCCACTAAACGGGGTAATGAGGGTCTTTAGAATACAACTCAAATTAATGTTCCTTGGATAGCTTTAAAAATGATGTGTAATTTTTAAAGTTATCTAAGGAGCTTTTTTTAATGTAGTTTTCTAATAATGATGTCTAATCAAGATTTTAAGATTTTTTTGCTTTATATATTTTTTGCTCAAAATCAAAAGTAGCTAAAAAAAAGGCCTAGATAACCCAACCCTACCTTATTAAATTTTAATTTAAAAGTTTATTTTTCACTTTCGGACTTCCAAAATAAAAAGTACGTTAACGCGCGATAAACAAATTATCGGTGTTACGGCGTTAACGCGATAAAAACGTGTTAATTTGCCCAGCCCTAATATATAACAAAATGAATGCTTTTATATTATTAAAATGTATGCCATACCTAAATTCATAAAAAAAAAATATTTTAAGTTTTGTTTGAAAGAAAAATTATGAGTTTTAGTAAAAAAATATATATTCGCACATTTTATACACAAACTGCGTGCTAAAATTTTGGAGAATACGTCAACAGAATTATACTGCTTACCCCTAAAGTCTTTACCAAAGAGGCCTTTTACAAGACAGTAACTGGATGCAGTTAACATATGCCCTAGATGATTATTTTTATTGAGACACTATCTCTAGCCTTTGCTCAACCAAGAGCATTAAACATTAAACTTAGTCGACTCTAGTCGACTAAGTTTAATTATAAAAATAATAATGTATACAAATTAAAACACTTGAAAAGGATAAAAAGTACATTGTCACCGTGTATGGCAAAATGCACTCTTAAAAACTGGATTTTATCATATCTCTCAAAAAAATAATTTGATTGTTTCGATTTGTTTTATTAACTAATTAAATTTTTATTTTTATTGCGCAAGCAAAAAACCTTAAAATTTTTGCCATAAAATGTTAACGCGATTGCAAATAGTTGCCATAACACAACTGTTGCTTTATAGCAGGTTTTGCTTTTTATGTATATATATATATATATATATATATATATTATATATATATATATATATATATATATATATATATATATATATACATCCATTTTTTTTTTTTAAGTATTCACCTCCCCACGGCCCGAGGGGGCTACTACAGTCGAGGAGGCTACTCATTTTTTTTTTTTTTTTTTTTTTTTTTGTTGCAAATTGTGGTACAACCCTCTCTCAACTTTTTAACTCCGAAACACGAACCTTGACAAGCAAGGCCGCTGCGCGGAGAAATTATTAAGTTGAGCGCGGTACTTCCAGGGACGTGGTGGGAGTCGAACTCCAAACCTCTCGCTTACAAAGCGAGCGCTCTTACCACTACACCACTACCGCATGATATATATATATATATATATATATATATATATATATATATATATATATATATATATATATATATATATATATATATATATATATATATATATAAAAAGAAAGAAATTTTATGGTCTGGGTAACGATGTTTTCATCTTTATTTTTTAGAAAGCTGCTGACTTACCAAGTTTATCACATACTTCCAGTCCATCAGTTGTTATTTCTGCAACAGTAACCAGTCTTCCTTCCAATTCTTTGCCAAGTAATTTATTTTTATCATAACATACTTATCATAGCATAAAACAAAAATTTGTATGATAAATGTTCTACTGATTGTTTTAAAATAATGATTGAGTTTTTCAGTATGAGGAATACATTTAAAAATTTAAATGTATAAAATTTAATAATAATTAGCAACCACGATAATTACATTATGATAAAAGTATAAAACTTAAAAAATATAAAATATATTATAAACCAGGGCTCAAATATCAAAATGTTTAAAAATTTAAATCATAAAAAATTTTAAAACGAGAATAACATATTAATCATCATGAATATATACAATCTTTAGGCATTTGTTATATTTTGAAAAAAGTTCGTTAAAATAAGATTGTATTGAAAATAACAAAGTTTGTTGAAAAATCACTTGTTTGCAAATTTAGAAAAGCCTGTTGTCAGTACCGCTAGTGAAGCGATCCAAGATTCAAAACAAGGTCTTGTGTCTGCTAAAACTCCTTCCGTTAGCACTTCCTCAAAAGATCTAGAGCGCCAGAAGCAAGACCATCAACATGCGGAGCCCAACGTAAAAGCTAAAGTCCTAAATCAGCAAGCATCTGTGTCGCAGCCTTTATATCCAGATCAACTTTCCAATCAAACGACCTCGGGAAATTCGCAAATTTTACAATCTTCAACACACCAAGTTCAGCATGCCGTACAAGCAACGCAACAGCCTATGCCTAGTCACGCGCAGTCAGACGTCACTCAAAAGCCTGTAACTTTAGCCCAGGCTCCAATTTTAGATCATATGTCGTCATTTTTCCAAAGTAATCCATCTTATAGCTTCATGCCTTCCCATCCGTTTCCGCAACCTCCATTTGCATCATTGATACCCCCCACTTTTCCTCAACAACCACTACATCCACCTCAAGGTCAACAAACTTATCAACAGAACAATTATCAAGCTACTATTCCCCAAAACCAAGAGTACCAACCAAATGTTCAACAAAGTCAAGGAGGTTTTCAACCTATAAATCAGCATAAACAGTTAAATTATCAAGCCTCAAACCAGCAACCGCCGAATAATTATCAACCCTCAGGACAACAAAATCCAGGTAACTACCAGGCTACTAATCAACCTAATCATAATTTTATGTCACAACAACCTAGTCATCAGACAAACTTTATGAATGCCGTACCTACGGCAAGAAATATGTATCAAAACAATTCTTTTTGTAGCTATACAGGCGGCGTTCCTTCCGCTGCACCACCAGGGTCTCCTTTTGTACCGCAAAATCGTATGCCACAACATGTCCCCCCTCCATATCCGCCTGCTCCTTGGTTATCTAACCCTGGAACACCACCTGCAAATTCCAATAAACCTCCATGGATGCAGTAATCTTTATCGTAAAACAAATGACGACACAAAGCATATTATGTAAAATTTAAACTTTTTTCTGGCGCTTTTATGCCCAGACCTTCAATGTGAAAAAAAAATATATGTAAAAAAAAAAGATAAATTTTTTTTTATTTATTCTAATATCCAAATTGTTCAAGTAGTTAAACAGGGTATCCGACCGAATGTTCGAATTGTTAATACTCCGTAAACCGGGGATTCTAACCAAATATCTGGTTGATTTTTTATTTTAAATTTTATTAACATATAATATTACATGAAGAACTTTGATCAATAAAGTAACGCAACGCTTATATATTAAAGTTGTCATAATTTTCTTGAATATAAAATTTTTTTAACTTTTATTTTTAACAGTAATTGTTAATATGTCAATGTATTATTGTGGAAAAAAACCGATAAATATTATGGAAAATTTTTTTTTGTTTTAATATTATTTATAACTAGCAGAGTTGCGCGGCTTTTCTTGGTATTAAAAATTTAGAAAATATCAAAGTTTTAGTTAAAAATCAACTCTTGACCCGTTAAAGTTAGCAAAAAAATTTCAAGATGGTAGACCAAGGACGTTTTATTAATAGATGAAATATATTCTTATTTTTTACGCTACGCAATTATTTAAAACAATAATTTATTATCGGGTTATCAATTTACAAAAAAATTTAAACGTCAGAATAGGTATTAACGCCGCCAATAACTGAAATTTTTTGTGGGTTTGAATTTTTAGCGTCATTTTTTGAAATAATTTTACAAAATAAACCAACATTTTTACTTTTAGCAAATATTTATTACCAGTAAAATACTAACTTTTGGGAAATATAAATGCATTTTATGTAATTAAAAATGTCTCAAGTATTTGAAAACATTTTAATTAATATGCAAGCTTTGTTTAATAATTAATAATATGTTTAACAATAATGTTTATTAATAATATGTTTAATAATAACTTATTTGTAAAAAAACTTTAAAAAGTAAAAATGCAATCAGTTCAAAATCAATCCAGATCGAAAATATAGAAATAAAAATAGAATTAAGTTTGTTAAAAGAAAAGATAATCATATAAAGTAAGCTTATTGGTATTGCGGTTTTTAATGTCCAATTTAAGTTCAATATCAAGTTAATTCGATAGGAACTTTTGTTTCGTATACCGTTTTACATAAATTACAAAACAAATTGAGCTTAGTCAAAACCTAAAAGTATATAATAATAATTATTTGAAAATATATCCAAAGTATTGAACGCAAATACTGAAAACGTAAAATTCGATTATTATGTCCAGTGTTTAATTTTCACACGCAAAGTGGAAATAAAAACTCCGAATTTACCTCAAATGTTGCAAAAGAGATTTTTCAACAATTTTGTGGCATAGCAATTACAAACATTTATACAGAAAGTCAACTACATAATGTCATAACATATGCAAAGGTTGCGGCTCAAAATCAATAGACCACAAATAGTAAAGATTTTTTTTTTTAACAACTTCGCTTCCAACAAGACTACAAGCAACCACTAATTAGTGTTGGAAGTTACTGGAAGAGAAAAGATGAAGGTTGTAGAGCAAGATAACGATTGACAGACGACTTAAAAGATTGCAAATTATATGAATCAGGAAAGCAAGATGAAGGAAGCGAACTCCAAAGAACTGATGTTCGAGGAAAAAAACTAGACGAATAAGAGTTTTTGGAGCACTTAGGAACAGTAACAGAAAAAGGATGAGACTTAGTTGAATGACGAGTAACACGAGAATGAATTTTTGTAGATGGCACAAATGACGCTAGCTCTTTAGAGCAGTGCCCATTGTAGTATTTGTAGAAAAGAGAAAGAGAAGCAACATTACAACGATGTGACAGAGGTTGAAGGTTGGCTGCAAGAGCAGGTCCAACTATGTTTACAATGCGTTTTTGCACCTTGTCTAAAAGAGAAAGGGCATCATTAGAAGATCCACCCCAGATATGGCAACAGTATTCCATACAAGGCCGGATTTGAGATTTATAGAGATAGAGAATAGAATCCAGAGTAAGAAAGTGACGAGCTCGATCGACTTTAGCAGACGCTAATCTTGCAACGGATTTGATATAAGGTTTCCAAGAAAGATCAGAAGTAAGAGTTAATCCTAGAAGATGAAGGGTAGGAGACTCATCGAGTACATTACCGTTCATAAATATAGGAAGGTCTAAATTATTGCGATAACAATTGGCTGAAAAAAATTGAGTTTTATCTGAATTAAAGTTCACCACCCACTGTGAGCCCCATGCTGTAGCAGAAGTGAGATACTTTTCGAGCTCAGATGCCCCCTGCAAGCAATCAGAGGGAGTTGGCTTCTTATCGTGACAAGAGAAAAAAATGGTAGTATCATCAGCGAAAAATGCTACCTTAGATGTGATAATATCTGGAAGATCGTTAATGTAAATTAAAAAGAGCACAGGGCCAAGGATTGAACCTTGAGGAACCCCTGAGGTTAAAGAATAAGATGAAGAGTGCTGTCCATCAAGGACAACTTTTATACTACGATTGGAAAAGAAGGATTCGATAATCTTAAAGATGTTTCCAGATACACCGTAAGAAGAAAGCTTATGGAGAAGACCAGCATGTCAAACTTTATCAAACGCTTTAGAAATGTCAAGAGCGATGGCCTTAACCTCTCCACCTTTATCTAATGCGCGATAAAACCTATCGGTTATTACTTTTAGCAAATCAGCTGTAGAACGAGAAGATCGAAATCCATATTGATGATCAAAAAGTAGATTATAAGATTCGAGATGAGAGATTAAGTGGAAGAACGATTCTTTTATAATTATAGAAGCACAAGTAGTAAGAGAGCATAATCTGGATAAGATTAGGAGTTTAAAATTTATTCTTCACTTTGACACAAAATTAGTCAAACAATACAGGACAGAGGTCAAGATTTTGGATACAGTATAAAGGTTGGCAATTAGTGTTTCTTTTCCAGAGTCTGGTTCACTTGACTTTCTTCTGGGAAGTACCCTCCTCCAAAGAGAAAGATCAAGCTTTGCTTATCCAATGTCTTGTGGAATATTATGACTTAACTTAATGGAACTACAGGGAGTAAAAGGAGGACCCAGTCAATCCTTTAACAAAAAATATCAAGATCTTTGGTTCTAGATTGAAAAAGGTGTGAATACACTGGCTAACATTTAGAAATTTGATTGTAACAAACCTAAGTTTGCTCTTGGAACCCTCTTTTACAATCTTGCAAATGAAACAATACAGTTCTACACAACAACTCTTAAAACAAATATTTTTGACAGAGGTGATTTTATGGCTATTTTATTGTATCTGTTTTATGTATCAAAATTTATGGCTAATTTATTGTATCTGTTAGCAATCCAAATGACAAAAAATTACATAAAGGAGCTCAGTATCAATGAGATTAAGATGATTTAGGATGGAACAGATTATGTAGCGATCTTTCACCGAATATTCTTTCCAATGGCAGCTCAAGCTCCATCCAATGATCTTAGAGCATTCAAGATTTCATTGCAGATCGTGATAAATCGCAGATCACTTTACTCCAAGAGATTGACAAAGTTCTTAATCTTAGCATTTTCACTATTTTACAGTGTGTTTTCTTTGCTTTCGCTGACCAAGGTTTAGAGGAGAAAGAGAGAACGGATATTCTTATGGAATTGTTAAAATATGATGTTCCAGAAATTTGCCGATGATGTTCCAGGGAATTGTTAAAATATTACGTTCCACAGCTTTGACAAAAAACAACCAGAACCTGTTACATAGGTCTGTTCCCTCTCAAAGCTATTAGACTTTGTTTCTCAGGACTCTCATCTCTTTTATCTCCATTTTGGTATAACCAAAGATGGCATTCTTTCATAGAAAAAAAAAGACATGTCAAATTTGGAGAAAAATCTCAGATCTTTCAAGACATTTGTGTCCAGTATACGTCAACTAGCTGTTGTTAATCACAATGCTGAAAGACAAATTTAATTGGTGCAGGATTTCATTGGCAAGACACATTCCGAAGACAGGATTTAAAAAACATAGATGGTGGTTTTAGACAGCCAGCGGAAGGTACCTAAACGTGTCACTAAATAAGACTTGAAGAATGACTAGATAAAAAAAGTACTTTATGGCTATATTTTTGTTTTCAAAATATATTTTTTCCAACAAGTTTAATAATTTTTTCACCACCTAATTTTTCTATTCCGTATTATTTCAAGTTTAATAATTTTTGCTCCACCTAATTTTTCTATTCCGTATTATTTCATTTTAAAATACATTTCAAATTAATGCAATTATAATAAAGAATAAAATAGTTATGACATTTTTTCAAAGTTGCAGTAAGTATAGCAGTCAGAATTAATGTATTAGATAATTAACTTCAAGTTTAAACATTATTAATTTAATTATTTTATCAAAATATTGATTACCACCGGAGTAGCTATCAATAAATGCAAAAAAAAAAAATCATTAAAATTAATATGCAATTTTTTTCTAAAACACCTTCTTCAGCTAAACAGTGACTTTGAGCACAAATATTTTTATTGTGGTTTTATTCTACTGAGACCAAATAAGGAGGATTGAAATAATGCACAATGTTGAATTCAAAAATTATTTTTTTCTGGCACACCTTAATCAACATGCTACTAAAAATAAACATAAGATTTACTTAAAACTCACTAAAACTCTCCATTGAAAATAAAGTCAAAGGTTTGTAGTTTTGTATTTATTATAATTGAAATTAAAGAAAAAGATTTTTACTATCTATTCGATCTTTGTCTTTTTCTGAATTCTTTTACTTGATCTTTCGTTACTGAATATGTAATATCATTTTCAAATTATTATAAAAAATATTATTAACTATACAAAATCTATATTTAATCCCCCCCCCCCCCCCCCTTTTAGTGATTTTCACTGTAAAATCAACACTGCCATAACAGATTTAAAAAATTTGTTATGCAATTTTTTAATTGAAAAATAATGACTGCAATGTTAGATTATAATAGGAAAAATAACATATAAAGTACCAAAAAGATGACAAATAAAATCAGACATTCTCCTCTACATAAAATAAAATTTCTTATAAGTTTAACATCCAATATATATTTTTTAATTTTCTACTAATGTAACTTGCTATAGTATATCT